AAAAAAAAAAAGGGCAGAAGACCTAAATAGACATTTCTCCAAAGAAGACATGCAGATAGCCAACAGGCACATGAAAAGATTCTCAATATCGCTAATTATCAGAGAAATGCAAATCAAAACTACAATGAGGTATCACCTCACACCAGTCAGAATGGCCATCATTAAAAAGTCCACAAACGATAAATACTGGAGAGGGTGTGGAGAAAAGGGAACCCTCCTACACTGTTGGTGGGAATGTAAATTGGTGCAGCCACTATGGAGAACAGTATGGAGGTTCCTTAAAAAACTAAATATAGAGTTGTCATAGGATCCAGCAATCCCACTCCTGGACATATACCCGGAGAAAACTCTAACTCAAAAAGACACATGCACCCCAATGTTGATAGCAGCACTATTTACAACAGCCAAGACTTGGAAGCAACCTAAATGTCCACAGACAGATGAATGGATAAAGAAGATGTGGTGTGTGTGTGTGTGTACACACACACACACACACACACACACACACACACACACGCACGCAAAGACTACTACTCAGCCATAAAAAAGAATGAAATAATGCCATTTGCAGCAACATGGATGGACCTAGAGATTATCGTATTAAGTGAAGTCAGACAGAGAAAGAAAAATAAGTATCATATGATATCACTTATATGTGGAGTCTAAAATTTGATACAAATGAAGTTATTTATAAAATAGAAACAGACTCACAGACATAGAAAACAAACCTATGCTTACCAAAGGGGAACGTGGTGGGAGGGATAAATTAGGAGTTTGGGATTAGCAGATATAAACTACTATATATAAAATAAATAAACAACAAGTTCCTACTGTATAGCACAAGGAACTATATACAATATCTTGTAATAACCTATAATGAAAAAGAATATATATATGTATAACTGAATCACTTTGCTGTACACCAGAAACTAACACAACATTGTATAAATCAACTATATTTCAATTTAAAAAAAAGAAATACAGCCACAGGAATGTTAAAAAGTACCATTAATTAACGGTACTTAGACACTATACAATTATTTTTAATGTCTTCCGTCTAATATTTATGCATCTGAAACATCCCCAGACAGAAAGCTGTGTGCATTTCTGGGATGGTATCCTATGAAGCAGAATTCTGTGAGGCAGCAGTGGTTTTCTTCCTACTTCCCACAATACGCTTTTTATAAAAGTACAAAAATGACAGTTCTCACACAGGCTATTCAAATAAAAACTTATATGCCTATTCTAACTAATATTTTATTGGAAGCAATTTGCATTTACTTCACTTTTTAAGAAGTTATTTTCCCTACTAATAGGAAGTTTCAGAAAATACTTAATTCTGAGCTGCTAGAACTACTGGTCAGACCCGATACAGAATAACCTATAAATCTAAAATACCCTCAGAGCATGCCCATCTTAGAGGTTACTCCACCTAATTAGTACTAGGTACCTGGGGCAATGGAGATGGGCTGTGCATGGGGTGTATACAGCCCTAAACCTAAGGTAGCAAGGAAAAACTGGATGGCAATGGCCAAGCAAAATGACCATTTTCCCTCCTAAAAACATGACTCCTCTGGAACTGACACTAAGAAAGTGATGACATCTGGACATTTTGGAAATAAAATCGAATTTTAGAATTTTGCCAGGTTTTCTTCACATTAAGAGTTAATTAGGAACATGATTCCATTTGTTCGACATTGTGGGAAAGGCAAAAGTACAGGGACAAAGTGGTTGCCAGAGGTTGCGGGTGGAGGGAGAGGCTGACTCTAAAGGAACGGGAGGGAAATCTGGGGGGTGATCAAACTATTCCGTACCTTGATTGTGGTGGTGGTGGTTTCATGATTACAAGCACTCGTCAAAACTCAAAGAAGTGTACACTTAAAGAGGGGTGAATTTTACTGTTATGCCTCGATAAACATGACCTTTGAAAAAAGAATCAATTCAGAGAGCAGAATGATTTCGAGGCAACAGTAAAGACAAGCTCTTGTAGCACTGCTGGCTTAACAGCATTATAATGCTCATGTAGTACTTTAAAACAAATTAGAAAAACACAAACAAACAAAACAACAACATGGCAAGCAGTGTGACAGAGAACCTTAGTTCTTCCTAAGAAATGAGGCACAGACTTCCCTGGTGGCACAGTGGTTGAGAATCCGCCTGCCACTGCAGCGGACACGTGTTTGAGCCCTGGTCCGGGAAGATCCCACATGCCGTGGAGCAACTAAGCCTGCAAGCCACAACTACTGAGCCTGCGTGCCACAACTACTGAAGCCCGTGCACCCTAGAGCCCGCATGCTGCAACTACTGAGCCCACGCACCTAGAGCCTGTGCTCCACAAGAGAAACCACTGCATGAGAAGCCCGTGCACCACAACAAAGAGTAGCCCCCGCTTGCCGCAACTAAAGAAAAGCCCGCATGCAGCAACGAAGACCCAACGCAGCCAAAAATAAAATTTAAATAAATAAATAAGAAATGAGGCACAAGTGACACAATCATTTTTGGAAATCTGATTTTTGAAAATTCTGTTAGATACATAAAGTAATAATTTTTTATTGTGTTAATGTATCACTTTAAATTAAAGGACTTTATCTTATTCCAGTTATCAACCTAGCTTTGGAAAAGGTGCAAGAGCTACATGCTTCCGCCAGAAATGGCTTTTTTAAAAAGGCCTTTGCTCCATGAGGCCAAGCTACAATTACTGGCTCACAGAGACTACCCTAGTATGGCTGGGAACACCTCAACACAGGCAGCACCAACCAAAACACTCCCATCTTTCTATCAATGTCAAGAACTGGTGTCCCAAGTCTACCCCGGCCCAAAGTATAAGGGAAACATTTTCACATACAGCTTCCTCAGGCAACCCATCCCCTGACACTTTATTTGATATGCTTCCTCAGGTGGCCTAGATTTCTAGCAAAACACTGTCTCTCTCATTTAACGTACTGACGTATTTCACTCACAGATGTTTCATTTGAGGCTTCTAAGAACTGGGTAGGAAGAGGTTATTAACCCTATTTACACAAAGAAACATGCTCAATAGAGGGTTTAAGTGATTTGGCAGAGCTGGGACTGGCTAAGGCCCCATGACTCCAGCTCCAAATGGGCTTCCCGCTTTGCCTGTGCCTATCTAGTTAAATGGTCTAAACAGATTTTTTTCCTCACATATATTCCACGTTAAGTCCAAAGAGTCATTAGGATTTGGATTTCTTCCCTCCCACCCAAATTAATAACCAGTTTTATTTACTTACATATGTTCAGCATTTTCCCAAAAAAAGTATTTAAGGGTTATCAGTTTTCTTTGACTTAATATTTTAATATTTTCTAATAGCATACACCATGAACTCACAATAACACGCACACACACAATGGATTTGTTAAAGTCATCTGCCTTTCAATACAGAGACTACTGTGATCAAGTAGAATGCATGAAAATTATATTCCCAGATCGCTGGTCTTGCATTTAAGGTGATTAAATATTTCTTGAAGTGTGTTCTGAGGAACACTATTACTATAAAATATGTCTTCAATCCCAAGTGAGTTCTGTGATAAATTTTAAGAAACTCTTGTCCTAAATCTTTCTCTTGCCAAGTCACAGTACACGTAAGATCAGAAGACCGAGAAATCATGACAGTAAATAAACCCACTCAACTCTAAGTTGCATGAAGATAAGGGTCATGTCTATTTTGTTCATCTCTGCATAGCCAAAAATCTAGTACACACAGTGTCTAACACAAAAATAGGCACCCCCCCCACAATTTTTTTTTTAACAAATCAATGATTTGTTTAATGTAACATTTCCCATGGAGCCTTTTCCATTTTCTTTTCATTTGATGGATCACCATATTGATCTAACTCATTCCCTCCTGACACAGTTACCAAAACGTAGTCAAAAAGGCCTAAAATTCTGATCACACGTCTTTGGTTAGTGCAGATTACTGCCATTAAGCTGGCAAAGTCAATCATGAAAATCCTTAGTAGGGATTACAAAATAAACTCTCATTCTGGGGGCCTAATTCTTAGCCTTAAAACCATGTAATTCCATGACCCCAAACAGTTGTAGCCTGTCCACAGAATAGGCTCTATTAAAACTTGGGAGCAAGTCCAGAGTAGGGACTGAAACTCCATTTTACACCTTTCCTGGAGCTTTGTAGGCTCAGGCACTGTTGTAGCCAACTGCCAAGAAACAGCATCAAGGGAGCTAGTCACCACAAAAGGGCCTTTGTAAACTGCTGCAAATTAAACCAATCAACCCACTCTGAAGAAACTATAACTATCCCACTTTTCTGCTTCAAAGCATTTCTTCTTGCCTCTCACCCATAACTCACATTTGTATTCTTAAAGTCACTTGTTTAGCTCTTTCTTCCAAGAAGGAGGGAAATTTTCATCAGCAAATGAGAATAAGCCCCCAAAATACCATAAAATATCATTGATTTGTGGATAAAGCATGTCATTCGTTGACATTTGTGAGAAGTGTCCAAGTAATACTAACCAAAGAGGTTTTACTTCAAGTCAGCTGGAAGTGAGTGAATTAAATGTCATCCAAACATTTAGTATTGTTAAATAGTGCCAAGAAGAGGGCTTCACCCTGACAAATGCCAGTTAACACATCTCTGTTTAAAGCACTGTTGGTTGCTTAACACCAACAAACTCACAAATCAGGGCTCTCCCCCGCCACCCCCGACAAGAGTCAAAAGGCTGAGAAAATGGAAATGAGGGTCAACTTATCAAGTGGTTTCTCTTCATGGACCTACTCATCTCTCAACACATTTATCCATGTGAAATCAAGTCAAAAGATCAAGGATGAACTTAAACTGGAGTTAAACGTCAAAGAAAAGCAGGAATTCCCTGGCAATCCAGTGGTTAGGACTCCACACTCTCATTGTCGAGGCCCAGGTTCAATCCATGGTCAGGGAACTAAGATCCCACCAAAAAAAAAAAAAAAAAAAAGTCAAAGAAAAGCAAAACTACAACCAGAAGTGGAATAAACAGTATAGTCCTTGCCTGTCTTGCTTGGTGATAGTGGGATTTACCGACTCCCTCAGATTTATATATTCCTTTTAGCACCAGCCAGTAAAGGCATTTTCTTCCCCACACTTTCCACTTCCTAGTTATCACCCTAGTTATCACTCCTTGTCTCAACCCTTACCCTCCCTCCTACCCTAATTCTAAATATGGGACTCAAAACAATAGGACTGACCTGTCAGGTTTTAAGGACCACTCATGGAGAGCACTCTGGTCTCCCTATGGGAGGGAGCTATATAACTTACTGCTAACTGCAAAGACAGTTTGAAACACCTCAAAGCAGATTTCATTAACTTGTTGAGAGAAAAGTTTTCCTGCTAAGTAGAAAAGACAATTGTTCTGTCTAGACTATACTGAGTGCTAAAGTAAACCAAAGAAAAGGCATAAACCCTTTTCCTCCACCTTTTCCTTACTTGAAAATCCACTCAAGTCAAACAACTTAATTGTATCAAATGCATAAATCTAAGCATTTGTGCAACAGAAAGATTTCACTAAGAGGAAAGTCTCTGGGCAATAATATGCTTCACTGGCTACAATATAGCTACTATGGCTGAAAAACCTTTCTGAAAATTAAATACCAATGTTTATACTGCCTGAAATTCCAACAATGAAAGGGCTCTCTTTGACAATTTATATTTTTTTTAATAACTTGGTCTTTTATGTAGAAGTTATAGTACCAACATTATTTCTGAAGAAAATAACTTTCGCTTAAATGTGAAGATCTTCACTTCTTTGTGCATTTAACTGTGTGCCACTTGGCAACACCATTTTCATAAATAAACTGCACAAGCCAACAGTGGCAAGAGCCCAACCATGTACATGCTGAAGTGAACCAGTTCCCCACAGGTTTCATTTTCTTTCTCCCTTTTTTTTATATGCACTGTATATAAATAGAGCAGAGACTCCTTCATGCTCATTAAATTATAGCATGTATTTTTCTTCAGTGGAAAAATACTGTGCAAATGAAAGATGCAGCAGACACAAAGGAAAAGCTCTCTTTTACCTTATTCATTAAGTAGGTTTTGTTGGTTATTAGGGATGAGTAATATAAACCATCATTGCTTGGTTCACCATTCTAGGGACTCCAAACATACCTCAATTATAACAGAGGGACACATGCAGAAATAGGAATATTTTTTAAACCAACCAATTTTGGCATCTTTGCACAGCTGCTCAAGACAGTAACAAATCAGATCACTTAACATAAGATAAATTAAGAAGCCCTCGAGGAATCAGCATTTGAACTATACAAGAGCAAGAGTGATTATTTTAGAGCTGTTTGAATAGATAAAAGCAATTACATATCCAAGTCAAGATACTAAGTCATTTAATCCCCAAACTAAGACAAAGAAAGCATCCACAGCAAAACTTTCTATTTCAAGAGAGTAGCAAAAAGTCAATTCAGTAAGCCTCCAAGCACTACAATACCTGGTTCAGAGAAAGTGTCACTGATGTCATCATCTTTGTCATCTTCATAATCCTCTTCCTCTTCTTCTTCTTCCTCGTTTTCAGAAAGTTCGTGCTCGCTGCCAAATCCTTCATCATGGTCCTCATCGTCAACATCTTCCTCGTCCTCCTCCTCCTCTTCAGGACTGCATTTGGTTGGTTGTTCACCCAAGTTGTCAGAGACAAAAAGGGAATAATTGTGCTCTTCTTTTTTCTGGGATGAATCTGAGACCGATGTGCTGGCAGAAAGGCTGCTACTCTCTCCTGCTGCAATAGACACAGGCCCCTCCTGGGGCAGGGGACTGAGTAATAGTTCCTGGGTTTCTTTAAAAGGCAAAGCTGGAGTGGCATGGCCCTGCAGAGGCTCCGTCCCTTTTTTCTCTGGTCTTTTGGCTACGGCACCACAGTAGCAGGTGTTCTCCTTTGCTGCATCTGCATGAACCTGGCTCAATAGAGGCCGGCTCTGCTGCACTGGGTTGATCTTTACCTTTGCCTTTTTCACATAGTCTTTACATTCAACATGAAAGTTCACTTTTTCATTATGATACATGTTGGTCTTCACCATGATTTGTGTGCTTGAAGTGGGTTTACTTGCTTTTTGGACACAGTCTGACAAAGGGACCTCAGCCTGAAGAGTCTTAGAAGAACACACAGGAGCAGCTGCTCTGCTTGCGATCTTTTTACCAGGGAATGATGAGGGCAAGGGATTTTGTTTGACACTGAAAAGTGAATCAGGGTAATAAAGGGAATCAGAAACAGACTGAGAGTCCTCGCTATTAAGCTGGGCCAAAGTTGGGGTTTTACTTATGACCTCTTCATCTTGGTAAGGGCTAGAAAAGTCATCGAGACCCAAGTAATCCACTTCTTTTGTTCCCCAGATGTCACAGCTGGTTAGTTTGGTGTACTTCGTTAAGTCTTCACAGTATGTATCCCACTGTTCCCAGTTTGAGGTTAAAGTACCCTCGTTATCCAGGACATCTGTGAAAGACTCCAGATTTTCAATGTCTTTGCAGTCCTCCAAAGAAAGGAAGTTGTCTCTAGGATTTTGCTGGTAGTTCATCTCTCTATCCTGAGAATGGTTTAAAAAAAAAAAAAAAATCACATACCGTAATTGAGGAAAGAATTATTTACCTCCATCCTCACTTTCATGTATCAAATTGATAAATCAGTACTCAACCTCTGGTCTGCTTTTACGATAAACACTACTTACATGACACTCTACCATTCCATTTAATATCATCTCCTCGGGCAAGGAAAAAATAAATAGGGAAAATATGTCCCCTGAGAAACTTAGGTATGGTTCAGGGCTCTTGAACTTCACTGTAAACACTCTTCCCGAAAAAAAGTTTACATTTCCTGATCTTTAACTTAGAAGGATTTTGGGACCTTCTCAGAAACAAGCTTCAGTTATAAAGCAAACAACAAAGGCCTTACCTTCATCACAGAATATGTCTTCTTAAGTGAGAATTTAAACATAGAGGTGAAGAGCAATCCAAAGAGAGGTGCAACTCAGCCACAGAAAGATAAGATCTTTGGTAAGAACTCGTAACAACTCTTGGGCATGGGAAAGTACTTTAACTCCTCATGAGTAGAGAGATGATTTTTTAAATGTCAGTAAGACTATGCAGCCATTAAAAGGAATGCAGTTAAGCTCTAATGTACTAGGATGGAAGGCCACTTACCACGTTTTTATGTTAAAAAGAGTTAAGTTACAGAATACTGTATCAATGATATGTCATCCAATTTAAAATATTCATATATTTATATATGCATAGAAAAACTCTGTTAGTGGTAATTATCTCTGAGGAGAAGGTTTGGTGGGTGGAGGCTCAGGAAGAAAATGAGGAAATTTTCAGTTTTCCAGTTTGTTTTTGTTCTGTTTTGATTTCTCCATTTGTTTGTGGGGTTTTGGGTTTTTTTTTTTTTTTTTTTTTGGTTGCATGTATGTCTCCGTGTGTTTTAACAGCTTTATTGAAATATAGTTTATATGTTTTGGTTTTTTTTTTTTTTTTTTTTTTGGTTGCATGTATGTCTCCGTGTGTTTTAACAGCTTTATTGAAATATAGTTTATATGCCACAAAATTCACCTCTATTAAGCATACAACTCAATAATTTTTAGCAAATTAACAGATTTGTGTTTTCCAGTTTTTATATACCTCCGTGTTTCTGAAGTTGCATGTAATTTAAATTATTCTTAAAGTCTTTTTCTTAAGAATCTTAAGTGTCTATTTACCTCGAGAATAAATAATTAGTATATTCAGATGTTGCTTGGAATTGCTACCTTTGTCTCACATTCTCTGTCATCTGCCTTGCTCAATGTTATCATTCCTAAATATCCCAGCTGAAAAGTCCTTTAGCAGTTAGGCATATTAAAAAGACGGCTTCTACCTTCATCATCAAAAACTAGAGTTAAGGATATTTAGATAACCTTTCCTCTTACTATTTTCAATGGGTTCAAACACCCTTCTAAAATACCAGACTGATAGTGACAAGAAAAAAATTTGGCCTGATCACATCATTTTTTCTTTTTAGACATTTATAAATAAAAAAATGATACAACACCTTTACCTCAAATCGATTAAAGCAGAATCCAAGAAAATGTTACTTACCAGTTCATACATGAAATCTGGATCTGAACTGTTTGCTAAGAGATCTGTGCTCGTCAGAGTCTGTTCTGAAAAGGTGTGGCTTCGAAAGGCATCCCCAAAAGGCGGATCCATTCCGCTTACACTAGGCTACAACAGAGTGATTTTAATTTTGGAAAGTTAATGACTGCTTCGAGACCAGTTTATTACACACAAGCCCCACCCTCACACCTACTAAATAATTATCTTTAAAACAATTTTGTATTTTTTCCTGCTTTTTAATTTTAGTACATTTAAAATATCTAACTAACATTAAACTATGGACTTATATTAGGAAAATAACTAAGATGCATCAAACACTGGAAAAGGAATAGACTGGAAATTGTTAATTATACCTAACTTCTAAAAACTAAAGCTTATTTAGCCACCAGAGTCAGCATGTAGTACCTAATGAGTACTTTTATTTATTAGCTATGTAACATTTCTTCAAATCCATCTCTAACAACACTCGCTGTTCTAACTCCAGAAAGTGGAGAATCCCCTGCCATTTCTTCGGGTCTGCAGAAATAGCAAGACAGTCTCTATACTCCTAAATGAGTTCAATGTCTTATTTCTCAAAACAAGTGTAAGACCATTTGGGCATCTCTAGTCCAACTAATGCCTCCAGGAACGTGATGGAGACAGGAGCAGACAAATATCAAAAAATCTGCTGAGTGAGGCCGGTAACTGGGGCATGAACTCAGTAGCCTTAATCATGATCCCTGAGAAGGATACAATTTCTATGATAAAAAAGAAAGGGAGAAAAAAAAGGCTCGGCACCCAGAGTTGATGCTCTTTCTTTTCTCTTTATCCCCCCTTTATCATTTCAAGGTCTAAACAAATCACTTCAGAGTGAAGTTCGGGCTAAGACTACTAACGTGGCCCAAACAAGTCAAAGTCCTCACTTTGAAATCTAACTTGGATAAAGGAAGAAGATGGGAAAGAATACAAATTCCCTGTTTGCCTTTTTGTTCTTCTCTTGCAAGTTTCTGTCAAAACTTTTAAAATTATATTAGTCTACTTGCTTATATTTCTCTATTCATATACCTTCTACCTACCACAGACTGACCCCTTTCCACACACCCTTTCACAATGTTTTCCTTCATGGGTACTTCCCATCCCATTCTTTTCTTTCTCTAATTTTCCGCAAGCTTGCCAGGTTGCAAGCTCAAAGTAAGTGTTTTATAGACCTAAATTCAAGTATTCAATAAATAGCGAATGAAACCTTGAATGGGAAAGAACTCAAAATGGGTATCTGCAGTCCACTTGGTATAGTGCTTGGGGTGGAGCGAGGCCACTGGTCTTTTTACTATCAGCTAGCAAACCCCCTTTTGCCTCCGCTGCCTGCCTCCAAATCACTGGACCATCTCGACAAGTTGCTGACTTCCCGTGCTCGAGGCACAGTTCTGCCTGGCCCCACATAAAGCGACCTCAGAGTCCCTGCCCTCTCATTATTTCTAGGTTTCTCCCCAGCATAAAAAGAGGAGGGATAGGACTTCCCTGGTGGCGCAGTGGATGGGAGTCTGCCTGCCAATTCGGAGGACGCGGGTTCGATCTCTGGTCCGGGAGGATCCCACGTGCCGCGGAGCGGCTGGGCCCATGCGTCGCAGCTGCTGAGCCTGCGCTCTGGACCCCGTGCTCCGCGGCAGAAGGGGCCGCCGCAGTGGGAGGCCTGCGCACCACGGCTAAGAGTGGCCCCCCTCGCCGCGGCTGGAGAGGGCCCGCATGCAGCAGTGGAGACCCAACGCAGCCAAAAAAAAAAAAAGTGGGGGAGGGATAAGACCTAACCACTGGAGGGGGAAGGGAAGAAGTTTGGATATGCCGAATAGGGACTAACAGGATTTCATTTATTGTTTCAGTGATTGCCTCAAACCAGAACTGAGCAATTCAAAGTAGTTACCATGATATAAATAGTCATCCTTAGACATGTTTTGTGGGAGGTATAGGTATATATGTATATGTATATGTGTGTGTGTGTGTGTGTGTGTGTGTGTGTGTGTCTATGTGTGTGTGAAAGAGAGAAAGGTTGAAGTCCCTCACCATTTCCTCCTAACTGAATTCAATGGGCATGAAGGGAAAGGAACAATTGGGAAACTATAAGAAGATAGAGGGGATGGAAATGGGCTTTCTGTGGCAGATTAATTTTCAGGGGAGTTGGTTTAGACCCTGTAAAAGCCAGCACCTCTGCTACCTTCTAACCAACTTTTCCTTCACATTGTTCCCTGTGTCAACCTCATTAAATTTCAAAGCTATAGCAAAGGAAGGACATGTATTCAAAACCAGTTCAGATCAGAAGCAAAATGTCTTTAAAAGATAGTATAGCAAGTTGTGTTAAGATTCAGAGAACTTACTGAACCAACTGCAGTGGGAAAATATAAAACTTTGCGCCTACTCTGTATGATTTACCTGAGGCATTTCCAAGCCCAGATCCTGTGAGTCCGTTCCCAAACTTCTTTTTTTTCTCGTTTGTAAATTCCTTTCCAGCTTTACTTTTAATTTCAAGATCAAAGATGATTTTCACAATAAACAGCAGGTTTCCCAGGATGCCTTCAATTCAACTGCTTGTATCACTGTTGTTTTTTTAATAATTCTGTGCGAATCTGTCAACAACACAAAGTAACTTCACTGAAAGCCACTAGAAACAAGTTGACCTTTCAAAAATAACATTAACAAAGAACACTTTAAAGGAATAAGTACTGTGATGGTACTATCAAGAATTTAGGCCATTTTTTAGTACCAACTATTCTGAAATTCACCATCCCTCCCTTTATTTGTTTCTACAATAGGACTGGTCAATAACCAACTGGCACCATAAAACAAAACAAAACAAAACAAAAACGCTGACAAAATTAACATAGGCCTGGGACTTCCCTGACAGTCCAGTGGTTAAGACTCCATGCTTCCAATGCAGGGGGCGCAGGTTCGATTCTCTGGTTGGGGAACTAAGATCCCACATGCCCGGTGGCACGGCCAAAAGGAAAAAAAAAATTATTAACATAGGCCCATCTTTCCTGTGATCTAAAAATGTATTTTACTTAATGTTAAAATAAACCTCCCGTTCTCTTCATGTTTTGTATGAGAAAACAACGTCTCAGCAATTCCATCTACTGTATAATCATTACTGCTAAGTGAACCTACATTTTATATCTCTCATAAATGTACAAGAAGAGCAATGAGTATGTATCACCAATAACAGAATTTAATATATCCTCTGCATTACATAAAATCATGTTCATAATGGTATATGCAACATTATTCTTTGAGTTATAAGTGAAAGCTGTCCTTGAAGTAAGAATTATTCCAGTAAGCTCTGAACGTGTATGTTGAGAGGGGAAACAGGGATAAGGACTACTTAGCAGAGTGGTTTCAAGGGTTAAATTAAATGACTGCAAGTCACCTGGCACAGGGTTTTGACTGTGATAGAAACTGACAGGTTAGTTCCCCTTTCCCTCCTCTGTGAAGGCTTTAATCAAGAGGAACTAAACAGCTATACCCACTTCATCATCTCTTCCTAGATAAGTGGTCCTCAAAGTGTGATCCCAGGACCAGCAGCATCAGCATCAACCTGGAAATCTGTTACTAATGCAATTCTTGGGCTCCAGCCCAGACCTACTAAAGCAGAAATTCTGAGCGTAGGGCCCAGTAATGTGTTTTAACAAGCCCTCAGGGTGATTCTGCTCCTCTCTAAAATCTGAGAACCTCTGCTTTAAGCTGAACTCCTTGCTCTTATTCATTCTAGATGCAGTATCATTTCTTAGACTGATGTAAAGAGCCAATTTAAGCTAAGCTGCCCTCTGTAGTTAACACATTCTCTGGCCTAGAGCTTTAGAGTGATACATTGCATCAATTTCAGAGACCTCTTGCTGAACAAATAGGAGATAGTCAACAAGGATGCAATAATTGTTCTACTCAATTAGATTAATAAATTGACTATCATCTGCATTTCCTAGATCTTTGCTGGGCTTTTCCTACTAGTGGGCTGTCATTCTCAGTGCACTGTTCTAGCCTAGGAAACACCCTCAAGTGCCCAACCTGGGCCCAGAAACAGAATTAACTATGCACCTCAATCCAGTGCTACAGTTTAAATGGACTGATGCCTGCTTGTGCCAAAGGCTAGTTCTGGCCCAATTCCTCCTTGGACATACTGCTGACACGTACTCTCAGTCCTAACTCTTCCCATGATTCCTGTGAGAAACACGGTCAGTTGCCTTTTCCAGACCTATTACTTAGACCCCCCAAAAAACCAAATTATTCAAGTGATGCATTCAACAAAGTGGACTAGTATAATCCTGGTCTATAACCTTGGATCTGGGAGAAAAGTTTGATACTCTCTAAAACCTGAAACTTATCCTTTCTAGCAACAGCGTTGAAGAATCAAGAAGAGATTGAGTTCTCTACAACATACATATTTTGGCATATATTTATTGACAACCACTATAGACACCATGTACCAACAGCTTGGTTTATCAGGAAAACACTGAACAAAAAAAGGGCTAAGTTCTAGTTATTGCTCTCACTTGCAAACTCTACAATATTGGGTAGGTCAATCTTTCTAAGACTCATTTTTCTCATCTATATAAAGAAAATATTATTACTCCTGGCTACCAAATTTTCTAAGCCATAAAAGTTCCATACATATATCAATATTTCTGTAAAACGTTATTTTAAACACTTGGCATTGAAACAAATTTGTCAATGCAGTTAGCAAAAAGAGCACTTGTTTGGAAGACAAGAGACCTGGACTCCAGTTTTGATTCCATAATTAAAACTAAATAGGAGGGCTTCCCTGGTGGCACAGTGGTTGAGAGTCCGCCTGCCGATGCAGGGGACACGGGTTCGTGCCCCGGTCCGGGAAGATCCCACGTGCCGCGGAGTGGCTGGGCCCGTGAGCCATGGCCGCTGAGCTTGCGTGTCCAGAGCCTGTGCTCCGCAACGGGAGAGGCCACAGCAGTGAGAGGCCCGCGTACCGCAAACAAAACAAACAAACAAACAAAAAAACAAAACAAAAAAACTAAATAGGAGAGTGGCCAAGATGGCGGAGTAGAAGGACCTTAAGTTCATCAACTCTCACAAGCACACCAAAATCACAACAATCTGCAGAACAATCATTGTTGAAAAAGACTGAAACCTACCAGAAAAGATCCTCTACAGCTAAAGACATAAAGACAGAACCATGAGACTGGTAGGAGGCATGGACTTACAATATAATCAAATCCCATATCCCCCAGGTAGGTAAACTCCAAATTGGAGAATAATTATATTATAGAGGTTTCCCCACAGGAGCAAGAGTTCTGAGCCCCATATCAGGGACCCCAGTCTGGGGGTCTGGCAACAGGAAGAGGAGCCCCTAGAGCATTTAGCTTTGAGGGCCAGCAGGGCTTGCTTGCAGAAGCTCCAGAGATTGGGGGAAATAAGACTTCATTCTTAAAGGGCGCACACAAAATCTCATGCACACCAGGACCAAAGACAAAAGCAGTAATTTCACAGGAGCCTGGGCCAGACCTACCTGTTGGTCTTGCAAGGTCTCCTGGGAAGGTGGGGGGCAGCTGTGACCCACCCTGGGGACATAGACACTGGTGAAAGATACATGGGGGAGGCTGATATACTGGCACCAAGGCCTGGTTGCACCCAACAGCCTGAAGGCTCCAGTGCTGGGATACCTCAGGCCAAGCAACAAACTGGGTGTGGACACAGCCCCACCCACCAGCAGACAGGTTACCTAAAGACTTCCTGTCCACAGCTGCCTCTAAACACAGCCCTAAACATGGCCCTGCCCACCAGAAAACCAAGACCCAGTTCCACCTACCAGGAGGCAGGCACGGGCCCCTCCCACCAGGAAGCCTGCACAAGCCCCTGGACCAACCTCACCCACCAGGGAAACAAACAAAATTAAAGAATACAATAACTGAAATGAAAAACACACTAAAAGGAACCAACAGTAGACTAAATGAAGGAGAAGAATGGATCCGTGAGCTGGAATACAGAGTAGTGGAAATCACTGCTGCCAAACCAAAAAAAGAAAAAAAGAATGAAAAGAAATGAGGACAGTTTGAGACCTCTGGGACAACGTCAAGCATGCTAATATTCACATTATAGGGGTCCCAGAAGGAGAAGAGAGAGAGAAAGGACCTGAGAAAATATTTCAAGAGATAATAGCTGAAAACTTCCCTAACCTGGGAAAGGAAATAGTCGCCCAAGTCGAGGAAGTGCAGAGTCCCATACAGAATTAACCCACAGGGGAATACACCACGACACACTGTAATCAAAAGGACAAAAATTAAATATAAAGAGAGAATATTAAAAGCGACAAGGGAAAAGCAACAAATAACAAACAGGAGAATTCCCATAAGGCGATCAGCTGATTTTTCAGCAGAAACCCTGCAGGCCAGAAGGGAGTGGCACAATATACTTAAAGTGATGAAAGAGAAAAACCTACAACCAAGAATACTCTACCTAGCAAGGCTCTCTTTCAGTTTTGATAGAGAAGTCAAAAGCTTTACAGACAAGCAAAAGCTAAAAGATTTCAGCACCACCAAACCAGCTTTACAACAAATGCTAAAGGGACTGCTCCAGGTGGAAAAGAAAAGGCCACAACTAGAAACAAGAAAATTACAAAATAGGGCTTCCCTGGTGGCGCAGTGGTTGAGAATCTGCCTGCTAATGCAGGGAACACGGGTTCGAGCCCTGGTCTGGGAAGATCCCACATGCCACGGAGCAACTGGGCCCGTGAGCCACAACTACTGAGCCTGCGCATCTGGAGCCTGTGCTCCGCAACAAGAGAGGCCGCGAGAGTGAGAGGCCTGCGCACCGCGATGAAGAGTGGCCCCCGCTTGCCACAACTAGAGAAAGCCCTCGCACAGAAACAAAGACCTAAGACAGCCATAAATAAATAAATAAAGCAAGCTGTCAACAAGTAAAAATAATAAAAAAAAATAAAAAAAAGAAAATTACAAAATAAAAAATCTCACTGGGAAAGGCAAACATACAATAAAGGTAGGAAATCATCCACACACAAAGCTAGTAGGGAGGTTAAAAGATAAAAGTAGTAAAATCTGGACTTCCCTGGTGGTGCAGTGGTTAAGAATCCGCCTGCCAACGGCGAAAAAGTTGCAATACTTACATCAGGCAAAATAGACTTTAAAATAAAGACTGTTATAAGAGACAAAGAAGGACACTACATAATGATCAAAGGATCAATCCAAGAATATACAACAATTGTAAATATATATGCACCCTACATAGGAGCACCTCAATATATAAGGCAAATGTTAACAGACATAAAAGAAGAAATTGACAGTAACACAACAGTGGGGGACTTTAACACCCCACTTACATCAATGGATAGATCATCCAGACAGAAAAGCAATAAGGAAACACAGACCTTAAATGGCACATTAGACCAGATGGACTAGTTG